AAAATTACAAAATATACTAAACCTAGATTGCATGAGACAACTTAAGTAGCACCAACTTATTGCTGCATCTCGGTTGGAGTTTTGATTTGAACAACTGAAAAATGTTTATCAATTTGAGTTTTTACGTTAGATGAGGCCAAAATTCGTTCAAATCATCGAAGATAGACAGTCGATCGAGGTAACGCTTTTAAAATTAAAAAGTGAATTCAACCACATTCCTATAGACGTATAAATTACGTTTTCGTGAAAGTTTTTTTCATCAAACGGTCAAACATAAATTATGAAGACCAAGATGGTGTGGCATTTTGTGCGGTCGCAGTCTCTTTTCGTTGTAAAGAAGTTGTTTGACCATTTTTTCGCAACTTGGTCATATTGATAGGAAGACTTAGAGAAGCGTACCTAGTGCGGAGTCCATTGTATGCATGATCATTTTCAAAGTCGGACCGTGGACATGGTACATTCCCAGACGTTTCGCCGGCACCGTAGTCTCCATCGTTTACCACACATTTGATCAAAGGATCTACTCCACTTGTCTCTTTGATGAGTTGTAGTGTGGTGCTAAGAATGGCAAGATTCAATGACGATGCCGACTACGATGCCGGCGAAGCATCTGGGAATGTACCATGTCAACGGTCCAAATTTGGAAATGATCATGCATATAATGGACTACGGAATAGGTTCGTTCCTCTAAGTCTTCCTACCAATATAACCAAGTTGCGAAAACATGGTCGAACAACTTCTATAAATTATTTAAAACTCATAATTTTTTATTTCTCTAAAATCGACTGCCTTTCTTGTCTGGTTTGGTAGGCTGAGAGACGTCTAAAATTGGCCGAAGCTGCCTTTCACGAAAAACTAATCAGTTTGCGTGTTGAGCATGAGGCCAGTTTAGCACAATTGATGGCTCGCAAGAATTCTGAGGCCGAAGCCTGGCAACAGACAGCGGAAACTAAACGTGCTGAGATGGCGGCCTCAGTAGACCGGCTGGAACAGCAATTGGCTGTCGCTTCGGCTGCCGCTGAGCAAGCAAAAAAGCAGGCCAACGATAAGGTTTGTCAATTTTATTTAAATTACTTTGCTATTTCATTAATCATGGGCTGTTGCTTAGTTCGAAAATCTTGCGATCACTTAATCACAAGATAGTGAGAAAAAATTCATTTTACAAACAATTTCAATCTTTGTCGCAACTTGGTCTTGTGTTCAGGGAGACTATGTAGAACGCACCGAGTCCGAAGTCGTCTGCC